TGAGAAAATTCGCAAATCTGGACTTTCAATCAAAACATTTTTGACAGTCTGGACATTTTTGTCCAGAAGGATCTTCTTTATTGAAAACATTTGTTTTAATATTGGATTCGAACGGTAAAAGGGTTTGTAATACATACCAGCTGACAAATGGATTTCGTGTACAAGTAAAGGTAAGACCATAAACTTTTATTATTTCTAGTTAGAAATAAGCTCAACTGGAATAAATTTTAACCTCAAATTAAATATGAGTCACGTTTGTGTGAAGAATGCTGATATGAGATCTAAAACATAACGCATTGTCTGTTAACAGACAATTTGTTAAAGGTTCATTTGTATTTGTAAATCTGACTGTAAAAGAGTCAGTGCCTCACCAGCTGTCAACCTCACCGCACGTCACTGAACCATATAACCATATTGTATTGGACAAAAAGGCAAAGGTACACAACCTTGAATTCAACAATGATCTCCATTTGTAGGTTAAGTCAGAAACCTGATGCACATGTGTACAACTAAAATAAATTAAATAATTGTTGATTTACATGGAGCCACTAATCTGTGACAGAACAGGAAATGTCTACTGCTCTAATGTACAACACTGTACAGTACAGCACAGACCTGATCTGTTTCACCTCTGTTTATTGGCATATCACAGTGCTTTGACATCTGAGATCTCTCATGGGGGCTCGAGATACCCTGGTCCCTGGCCTGCTATGGCAGCAGATCCCATCTCACTAATGCTGTTGCACAACCCTCAATCACTTTAATACATTTTCAGTGCTGCTGGCCAGCAGAAGACCCCTTCTCATGAGCTGTTATATAACAGCTCGGGCCATTCAAGCGGAGGGACAGCAACAACAGTCAGCTGTCTGCGTTTTAGTATATTTCTTTAATTTTGCTTGAGATCTCAACCAATAGCTAATAATGCAAAATGTATTATATTTATTAAATAAACATAGATCATGGTTCAAAGTCACTGCCTGAAAACCAACTCAAGCAAGCTCCCATTTCTTCTCTGCTCTGGCACCTTTCTTTTATTTCACTATGTGTGGAAATGTGTGCATATGTAATAAGGCATGCTTCATTTTGAAGCACTCCTAGTCCATACTACTGTGTTGCTTAGAAATGAACACCGAAGACTGGAGCCCTCATCAAAGATACTTATTAGACCAAACCTAAGAAAAAAAAAAAATCATTCCAACTAATGTAAAAATGATAAGTATTTATTGCTCTTACCACTGCTGTATGAGGCATGGGGTCGAATCCACAAAGACTGCAGACAATGTTCTTGCATTCTGTGCAGGTGTTGTAATTGGGTGGATCCTTGGAACCCACATTAAGTTCGACCTTGCAGAGTGGACAGGTGGACAGGCCTGCCTTAGAACCAACTTGGGCTGCTTCTAAAGGCTTTGCTGGAGCTTTCTCTTCTTTGGCCTGTCCTGCTGGAGCAGGCTTGGCCTGTTGAGGTAGCTCTGGTTTTAACTTTGCAGGAGGCATCTTGGGAGAAACTGGAGGTGTAGATTTGGGATTGACATGAGCTGCATCAGACATCTTACGTGGAGTAGGTGGTGTAGTTTTAGGTTCTTCCTGAACAGCTGAGGATATTAAAGTAGATGCAGAGCTGAAAATAGAGGAACCAAAACCAAACATCTTCCCAGTCACTGACTCAGCAGGCTTTGCAGCTTCAGTTTTAGAACCTCCAAATCCAAAGAAGCCTCCTGATTCCTGTTTAGCAGGTTGAGCTGGTGGTAGTGCAGATTTGGCAGGAGGGGTTACAGCTGTTGAGGGCTGATGTGGTGGTTTACCAGGCTCTTGCTTTGCCAGACCTGCCTTTTCTTCTGGCTTTGGAGTAGTCAAATCCTGAGCTTGCCTTTGTTCAATACATGAAAGGATTTGGGTCTCTGATTTTTGAAGTTCTTTTATGTGTGGAGGTGCTGGCGTGATCTCTTCTGCTGCAGGCACTGTAGACTTCTCCTTCTGGACTGATGTCAGTGTGTCCTTTTGTTCAGAAACAGGAGGTGTAATATTGCTTGGGGAGGGTTGTGGTGTCATTACATGAAGTCCAGTGTGCTCTGGTGCTTTAAGGGCTCTCTGCATCTGGCAATTTAGACAAAGCCATTCCTTTACCTGAAAAACAAGCAGCAACAGTGTTTTGATAGACAAACCAAGGAACAAACATTTTATGGGGTGAATTTGAATTGATTTCATCACAAAGTATATTCAACCATTTAAAGCATCATCATGTCACATGTATTTATTAACTTATTGTAAATTCCTATATATTATGGTCATATTGTAAAGACGGTAAAGATAAATTTTCTTGACTCTTTATTAATGTGGGTCTGTCATTTATAATTACAGAGAGGATGTACAGAATATTCTTGCTGTATAAACCATATGTTCACTAAAACGATGGATGTAAAGGGGTTGTTTTTCAGTCCCACAGACTTTATGTGGTATTAAAACTTTATGTTTTAGTTGTTAAAATGCACATTGCAACCTACTGGTCTTTAAATAAAATGACAGAAAGTCAAATTATAGCAAAGTGTGGACAGGAATTTACCTCTGCTACATTTGGCATTGGATTAAATCCACACTGGTTGCAGACAGTAGTCTTGCATTCAGTGCAAGTGTTGTAGTTGGGAGGGTCTTTGGAGTCCTTGTTGAGTTTGACCTTACAGAGTGGACAGAGAGGCTGCTCTGCTTTTGGAGCACCTTGGGTGTCTGTTGGTTCCTTGGGGGACACTGGTGGAACTTGATCCACTTTGGCTTGGACTGTTGAAGGAGTCTTTTCCTGCTGTGGTTTTTCTGGTTTCTTCTCCTCCACTTTCTGAGCAGCAGGGGGCTTGGTGTCCTTTGCAGGTAAAGTTTTGGGAGAAGCCGGTGGTGTGGTTTTAGGAGAAACATGACCTGTAATGGACATCTTTTGTAGAATTGGTGGTGTAGTTTTAGGAGAAACATGAGCTGTAATGGACATCTTTCGTGGAGTCGGTGGTGTAGTTTTAGGAGAAACATGACCTGTAATGCGTGGAGTCGGTGGTGTAGTTTTATGGACATCTTTCGTGGAGTCGGTGGTGTAGTTTTGGACTCATCCTGTACAGCTGAGGTTATCAAATTGGATGCAGAACTCAGGAAAGATGACCCAAAACCAAACATCTTTCCTGTCACTGACTCAGCAGGCTTTGTTACTGTAGGCTGTGTTTTAGGAGCACCAAAACCAAAGAAGCCCCCTGCATCCTGTTTTGCAGGCTGAGTTGTTGGTGGTGGTACAGATTTTGCAGGAGAGGTTTCACCTTTTGGAGGCTTTTGTGGAAGTGATTTTCCTGCTTCTTGATCTGATGGAGGAACAGATTTAGCAGTAGGTGTCACAGCTTTTGAAGGCTGTTGCTGGGGTGCACCAGGTTGTCCTTTGGATGGTTCTCCTGAAGGCTGTTGTGAAGCCAGAGAAACATCAGTCTTTGTTATAGTGGATGGAACGGTTCTGTCTGGTAACAAAGCAGCTGCAGGGGTAACTTTCTTTGTTGGTGCACAAATGGCTGGGGACTCCATTTCCTTGGTTATGGCAACATTTTCAAGCTCATTTTTGAGCGCCTCTGATTTAGGAATGTCTTCCTGAAAAGCTGGTATCGGGGTCTCTTTCTTTTGGGTGATGGCAGGGGCATCTTTGTTTTGTTATGGCAGGGGTTTTATCATGGGAAGACCAGGAGGCTCAGAAGCTCCAAGTGCTCTCTGCATCTGGCAGTTGAGACAAAGCCATTCCTTTACCTAAAAAACAAATAGAAAACATGCATTTGCATTTTGTTAGTACACACTCTCAAAACACTGTTTTGATCTAATGGTTTCAAATACATACTTTAAATGGAAGTGAAACAGTTTAGTAGAAAAAGAACAGCATGGCAATAAATTAAAAGGAAAATGATTTTGCAATAAATTTTAGTCCTTTCTATTTTGAAATTCCAACCAAAAATAAAAGATGCGATCCAATAAAATATTAATGTACTGTATTAAATTGTCTGCTGACAAAATACATTGAATGTGAACATTAAGTAAGTATTTTGTTCATGTAATTACCTCTGCTACACTTGGCATAGGATTAAATCCACATTTGTTGCAGACAGTGGCTTTGCATCCAGTGCAGGTATTATAGTTGGGTAGATCCTTGGAGCCCATGTTAAGCTCCACCTTACAGAGTGGACAAGTAGACTGACCCACATCGGGAGCCGCTTGGAGGGCTTCTGGTTTTGCAGGCTCTGATGGAACTTTGTTCACTTTGGTCTGTTCTGATTCAAGAGACCTGGCTTGTTGAAGTTGGTCTGGCGGCTTATCCAGATGTGGTTTGCGAGAAGCAGGAGTTGCCGAAGTCATCTTCTGAAAAACTGGGGGACTTGACTTTGGAGAAGGTGACATCTTGTCAGAGACTTGTGCTGGGGCAGACATTTTGCGTGAACTTGGTGGAGTTGTGTGGGATTCATCCTGAACTGCAGATGTTATCAAATTTGATGCTGAGCTGAAAATGGATGAACCAAATCCCAACATTTTCCCAGTCACTGCTTCAGTAGTTTTTGAGGCAGCTCGCTGAGATTTAGGACTACCAAAGCTGAAGAAACCTCCTGATTCTTGGTTTGTTGGTCGTGCTGCTGAAGGATCAGATGTGGCAAGTGATCTTTCAACAAGGTTTGACTCTTTGTCAGGGGCTTTGGGATCAAAGGGTTTGATTAGTTGATCAGCTGATTTCTTAACCATTTCAGCTTTCTCCTGTGTCCTCTCTGATACTTTTTTAGTCGCAGGAGAACCTGGTGGAATGAGATCCTTTTTCTTCTGGAAAGAAGTTTCAATATCTGTGCTGACAGGAGGAGCTTCAGTGGGCAGTGATTTATTTAAGTCTAAAACTACGGTTGTCATCACTTTGGTGGGAGGTACAGAGGGGGGTGGAACCTCCTTGGTAGGTGGTGAACCAGTTTTCTCCTCTTTTGTTGGGGCTGAAACAGTGCCTGTGGTTTCTTGTGTAGATGGGGCTTTAGTTTCTTCTTTCTGTTGTGGAGCACTTGGTATTTGACTGTCTTTCTGATTTTTGTCTGTCATTTCTGCTTTCTTTGTGGAAATACTATCTTTTTTTGGATTGGCAGTGGTGTCTTTCTGGGCAGCAGCAGATGCGGACACTTTGCTGGGTGATGCCTGGGGTTTCATTGGTAGCGGTTCTATTGATTCGGCTGCTGTGAGAGCTCTTTGCATCTGGCAAGTCAGACACAACCACTCCTTCATCTGTGGGGAAACCGTATTTTAAGTAAATGTGTTGGATAATAGTATAATCCAGTACCAACATGGCAGAATGTTCAGTATTTATCCCTATATTGTATTTAAAGGTACACTACATTGCCAATTTTTAGACTAAAACAATATCATTTGAATATAAAGTAAATAACATTTAAAATGTAGATATGTAAAATAGAAACCATTATATGCTGAGAGAATTTCACTTACTTCTGACACATTTGGCTTGGGGTTAAATCCACACTGGTTGCACACAGTGTTCTTGCATTCAGTGCAGGTACTGTAGTTGGGTGGATCCTTAGAGCCCATGTTGAGCTGAACCTTACAGAGTGGACAGGTGGTGGAGCGGCCTGGGTTGATAGTGTCTTGGGAGGCTGCAGCTTTTGGAGGCTCTTTGCGCACTTTGCCCTGTACTGATGGTGGAGTTTTGGTTTGCTGTGGTTGTTCTGGCTTCTTCTGTTCTACTTTCTTCTGGGAAGCAGGAGATTTGATTTCTTTTGCTGGGGACATCTTGGGAGAAACTGGTGGAGTGGTCTTGGGTTGGTCCTGAACAGCAGAAGTAATCAAAGTAGATGCAGAACTGAAGATAGAAGAACCAAAGCCAAACATTTTTCCAGTCACTGACTCTGATGGCTTCGCTGCATCAGCCTGACTTTTACCCCTGCCAAAGCCTTGCTGTGTTACTGCTGTGTCATCACTCTTCTTATGTTCAGTTTTCTTTGTCTGGTCTGGTGTTTTGATAAGATCTGATGATTTCTGGTGCTCCTGTGGCATTTTCTGTGAAGGAACCGGGCTGGCCTGTTTCTGATCCTCTGGCTTGGCAGCAGCCTGAGTTGGCTGTGCTGTTACAGTTGGTTTCATTTGAGGTGAGTGTGGCGCTGATGAGTCTTTGTTCTCACGTTCAGTTGGGCCAATGGTGTCTTTCTTTTGGGGATTTGCAGGTATCTGAGGCTTGACAGAAGCAACTCCTTGAGGCTGTGTTACTCCAAGAGCCCGCTGCATCTGGCAGGTGAGACACAACCACTCCTTTTTCTGAAAAATAAAACAAAATAAAATAATGAAAAAGGTTTTACTATGTACTGTTAGGTAATCTGTGTATAATTGCCTAATATTTTATATTAATGTAACAACACAGGGTTATTTTCTTTTTATTTATTTTATTTCCTGCATCTATTACACAGTAAACCCAGTAACAAAGAGTAAGAGAGAGTAATGGGAATTTCAATGTTTATATTTCCAGAAAATAATTAACGATGGTATGCATTGTGTTAACACAGTGAAAAGCCAGTAAGAGACACCTTCACTCTTTCAGTTCTTTCAGTAAGTGTGAGAAACCCTTTACTGTCAGAAGTCAAATAAAATAGTAAAAAAAAAAAGAAGCATTTTCTCTCAGCTTACCACTGTTTCACTGGGCATAGGGTTAAATCCACACTGGTTACAGACAATGTTTTTGCATTCAGTGCAGGTATTGTAGTTGGGTAGATCTTTGGAGCCCATGTTGAGTTTGACCTTACAGAGTGGACAGGTGGGCTGGCCTGGTTTGACAGCTACTGGTGCACCCTTTAGAAGCTCTGATGGGCCTTTATCCACTCTGGTCTGTGCTGATGGAGATGCCTTGGTCTGCTGGGATGGCTCTATTTTCTTTTGCTGCTCCAGCTTTTGGGAAGCAGGGGACTTGATCTCTTTTGCAGGAGACATCTTAGGAGAAACAGGTGGAGTGGTCTTGGGGTGGTCCTGAACAGATGATGTTATCAAAGTAGATGCAGAACTGAAGATGGAAGAACCAAAGCCAAACATCTTCCCAGTTACTGTCTCTCTAGGCTTTGCAGCATCAGGCTGAGATTTAGGACCACCAAAGCCAAAGAAGCCTCCTGACTCTTGCTGTGACGCCTGTGTTTTTTTATAATCAGGTGCTGGGCTGGCCTGTTTCAATGGTTCAGTGGCGACTTCAGGTTTGCCAGACTGCACTGATGGTGTGAATTGTTTCCTCTGTGGTGAGACTGGTTCTGAAGGCTCCCTCTTTTGTACAGCAGGATTTAGACTGCCCTTCTGAGCTGTAGTGGGTTTGGGAGACTCCTTTAACTGGACTGCAGTGGGTGAAGGAACTTTACTGAGTAATGTTTGGGACTTCACTGTGGGAGGCCCTGGATGTTCAGATGCTCCAACTGCTCTTCTCATTTGACAGTTAAGACATAACCATTCTTTTACCTAAAATGCAGTAAACATCAGGTTATGTGTTGCTTTCTAACTGTGGATGACAGTAATTCAAACCAACCCAACAATTTAGAGGAACGGACTCTTCAGCCATTTCATATAGGGCACATATCACAGAAAAAAATTACAACTATATTATTAAACATGCTGTCAGCAAATAGAGTGCAAATGTATACAGTGTATAATGAATTAATTTTTTTTGTCACAGAGGATGTTTCTGTGTTTGTTCACTTACCTCTTCTATAGTCATTGAGTTAAATCCACACTGATTACAGACAGTGGTTTTGCACTCGGTGCAGGTGTTGTAGTTCACAGGATCTTTGGAGCTGATGTTTAGCTCAGTCTTACACAGTGGACAGACTGTTGCTGCCTTTGGTAGATCTGATGGAGCTCTGTACTCTTTGCTCTGACTGGACTCCTGTGGTTTCTTTTCCTGCTCTGGCTTCTGAGCAAGACTTTTGGGCTCCCTTGCTGGTGACATTTTAGGAGAAACTGTTGGTGTAGTTTTTTGGGAAATCTTGGGCACAGCTGACATCTTGGGAGAGCCATGTGCTGGGGCAGACATCTTACGAGAGCCCGGTGGTGTAGTACGTGATTCTTCTTGAACAGTAGATGATATCAAATTGGACGCTGAGCTGAGAATAGAGGAACTAAAGCCAAACATCTTTCCAGTCATGGACTCTGTTGTTTTTGAGGCATCAGGCCCAGTTTTAGCACCACTCAAGCCAAATAGGTTTTCAGACTCCTGTTGTATATCTGGGGTGGCCTTACTTTGTTGTAGTACAGGTTTACTTGCCTGGTCAGTTGGTTTCTGAGAAACTGATACCCCCGAGGTATCCAGAGGAGTCTTCTGACCAGGAGTGGGGCTAGTCTGTGTGTCACTTTCTGTTCCTTTAGTAACTTTAGCCACCTGTGTTACTGCTATAGGCTGTACCTTCCGAGGAGAACCTGGTGTGGAACTCCCCTTCTTTTGAAGTGTATCAGGTACATGAGTCTCCATCTTTGAAGGCACATCAGATTTTGGTAATTCCTTCTTTATGGATTCCACTTGAATAGGAGCTGTTATCTTCTGATATTCAGCAGCTGGAGAAATTTTGCTGGCTGCACTGTCGGGTTTCATAGGAGGTCCAGCAGGTTCAGATGCACCAAGAGCTCTCTGCATCTGACAGTTTAGGCATAACCATTCTTTTACCTGCAAAAAGAAATATATAATTAAATTAAATTAAATATGAAACAATCACTTCTCTTGTTCAAAATGTGTGTATTCCAGACCATTGTGAACATTTATAGCTTAACTGTTTTTTTATTACAATTTCAAATCAGAGTAGGGAACCTGGTTTCTTACCTCTGACATGTTTGGCAATGGATTAAATCCACACTGATTACAGACAGTGCTCTTGCATTCAGTGCAGTTGTTGTAGTTGGGAGGTTCCTTGGAGCCAAAATTGAGTTCTACTTTACAGAGTGGACAAGTGGATTGTCCTGCCTTGAAAACACCTGTGGAAGCAGCTACATTCTTTGGAGGCTCTGATGGATCTTTTTCTACTTTGGGTTGTAGCATTGGAGAGGTCTTGCACTGTTGGACTTGCTCTAGTTTTTTCTCCTGCTCTTGTTTCGGAGCAAGAGGTAATTTAGTTGCCTTTGAGGCAGGCAATTTGGGAGAAACCGGTGGTGTTGTTTTGGATTCATCTTGGACTGTTGAGTTTATTAAAGTGGATGCAGAACTGAAGATGGAAGGACCAAAGCCAAACATCTTCCCACCCAGTGATTCAGCAGGCTTTGTAGCTTCAGGTTGAGGCTTAGGACTGCCAAATCCAAAGAACCCTCCAGATTCATCTTGTGTAGCTGAGGTAGTATTACTCTTCTTACTTCTGGCTGGACTTGTCTCGTCTGGTGGTTTCTGAATACCTGTCTTCGTGCCCTCCTGTGGAGCTTTCTGACCAGAAGCTAGGCTGACATGTTTCTGACTTTCTGGTCCTTTACTGACTTCAGCCTTTGTCGGCTGCTCTGCCGGTGCTGGTGGTTTCCTCTGTGGGGAGCCTGGTGCAGAAGTCTTTATTTTAGATTCAGGTAGAATATCTTTATTTTGAGGTTTATCCAGCAGGCGAGTTTCCTTCGTTTGTGCATTGGCAAGTGCAGGGGATTTACTTGGTGAGGCTTGTACTTTCATGATGGGAGTTCCTGGAGGCTCAGATGCTCCTAGTGCTCTCTGCATCTGGCAGTTGAGACATAACCACTCCTTCACCTATTTTAGAATAAACAGGTAATATATAGAATTCAGATTTGTGTTGCTGTACAGTGTAATGTATTTATTTCTATCAATTTTATTACATTATTAATAAAAAAATAATGTAACAATAATTTCTCTAGTATATTCTTTAATTTTGCAAGATTCTTCTTATCTTACCTCTTTAACATTTGGCACAGGGTTAAATCCACATTGGTTACAGACAATGCTTTTGCATCCTGTACAAGTGTTGTAGTTAGGAGGATCTTTAGACCCTACATTGAGTTCCAGTTTACAGAGAGGACAGGTAGAATGGCCTGCTTTGGAAATGACTGAGGAAGACGATGCTTGCTTTGGCGAATGTGATGGAGGTTTATCTGCTTTCGGCTGTACTGGTGGAGAATCCTTTTCCTGCTGGGCTTGGTCTACTTTCTTCTCCTGTTCTGGTTTCTTGGCAGTGGGGGATTTGGAATCTTTTGGAGCAGGCATTTTGGGAGAAACTGGTGGTGTAGTTTTGGGCTCGTCTTGAACAGCTGAGGAGATCAAAGTGGATGCAGAACTGAAGATGGAGGAACCAAAACCAAACATCTTCCCAGTTACCAAGTCTGTAGGTTTTGCGGCATCAGCCTGAGTTTTTGGACCACCAAAACCAAAGAAGCCTCCTGAATCTTGCTGTTTAGTTGCAGTCGCACTTCCCTGCTTTTGTGAAGCTTGACTTATCTGGTCTGGTAGTTTCTGAGGAACAGTCTTTCGGCTCTCCTGAGGTGTTTTCTGCTCAACAAATGAGCTGGCTTGTTTATGACTTTCTTGTCCTTTAACAGCTTCAGTCTTAGGTGGCTGTGCTGCTGGTGTAGACACATTCCTCTGCGGAGATCGTGGTGCAGAAGTCTTTTGTAGTGCAGGTTGTGCTGGAGTAGTCTTTTTTGATGATGTTTCTTTCTGATGTTCAGTTTCTTCAGCAGCCCGTTTCACCTGGCAGTTCAGACAAAGCCATTCCTTACCCTTAAAAAGAAAGCACATAAGATTATGCATGCACACTTTTATTAATAACAAATCATGATGAAAGCTCTAAAGTAAAAATCCAAAAACAGATTGGCTAGAAGTGTCCTATTCTGAACAACGGACCTACAATAGAAAGAATCAAGTGGTAGCAGCGCCTCATGCATATGAAAGATGGGGAGCAGACTCTAGAGGGCTACAGCAATTAAGAGGAAGGTAGGACTGGGTTGCTCAATATATTGAGCCTGATGAGGCATATGAAACTTTGATAAACTGTATGATGTACGAAAGACACCACTCAGCTTAGTCCTGAATTGTGCTTTTGGCACTGTCCACTTCTACAGCAACACAGTTTTTCAGAAAACTGCATTGCACATGTTTATATGTAACAAATATGTTAAAGATTTACTTTATTAATGAACTACTACTATTATCACAATACTGTGAAACTGGATATATAAAAAAATAAACATGGTGGTATAGACTTACAACATCCACTTTTACATACTGCTTGCAAAATGTACAGAATGATTTCTCCATCCTGATCTTGGTTCACCATAATTTTAGCCATTTGTTTAAGCAGTATCACAAGATCAAGTAGCCTTGGAATGTCCTTGGCAAGGTAGCATACTAACTGTGCATTGAATTTCAGAGTCAAGTGTCAAGTCCTTTGTGCTTCAGATAGCCTGGAAGATGCTATGGCCTTTTAAACACACCATGAGGTGTGTGCATGTGTGGACTATACATGGTGTGTTTTTGCATACAGTTTTTAAAGTAAGTCAACTAAATTCCAGCAACACTGAATCAATTATCTTTATATTTCACATGCATGAAGTCAACAGAAATATGAGTTATTATCTTAATACCTTTTATTTGACTTTTAAGAGTTTTAAGACTAAAGAGAAAGACAGTCACACCGGAGGCGTGTGGGGCTGCTATTTTATATGAGCATACTGTAGCCCTCATCTACCAGGTTTTGGAAAATGAGTGGACATGTGGCTTTCTCATTGTTTAAAAACTAGAAGCACTGTGGGTAGGATAGGGAATGAAAAGGGCTTTGGCATATTGCAACTTTAGTCTAAGGACTGCTCACTGTAACATTTTCTGCAGTCATAATCTGGACTTTAACTCTGTATTATGAAAATGACTGTTGACATGTCATCTATTCATTTAATTTTGGAAAAGAACTCCAAACAATGAAACTTAAAGAACCATGCTGAATATCAAAAGGGAACTTCAGATTCAGAGACTTTAATTCATAAGCGTCATGAGCATGCTATAGTACTGTATCTAAGTAGCATAAACTTTGGAGACACTGTGGCTGTAATATTTATCTGACAGGCTCTGTGGGACTAATCTGATCACTCAGGGAAAAAAAGTAATTTGCTCAGTAATGTTCTTTTTTTTTAAGGACAGTCTTCAAAATTTCCTTCATCACTCTCTTCAGTCCTTCATTACTTTATTTGATAAATATCATACAGACATTTTCTGGAATCTACATGATTCTTATTATCTTACCTCTTTAACATTTGGCATAGGGTTAAATCCACATTGGTTACAAACTGTGCTTTTGCATTCAGTGCAGGTATTGTAGTTGGGAGACTCCTTTGAGCCCATGTTGAGCACAGCCTTACAGAGTGGACAAGTGGATTGCCCTGCTTTAGGAACACTGTGGAAGGCTGCTGCTGACTTTGGGGTTTCTGATGGAGTTTTGTCCACTTTGCCCTGTCCTACTGGATGAGCCTTTGCCTGCTGGGGTTGCTGTTGTGTCTTGTCTTGCTCTGACATTTGAGCAGAAGGTGGTTTGGTCTGTTTTGTAGACTGCATTTTGGGAGAAGATGGTGGTGTGGTCTTAGGCTCATCATGAACAGCTGAGGTGATCAAAGTAGATGCAGAGCTGAAAATGGAGGAACCAAAACCAAACATCTTCCCAGTCACTGACTCTTCAGGCTTTGTACCTTCAGTTTTAGCACCAAAGCCAAATAAACTGCCCGACTCCTTCTGGGGAGCTGGGGTGGGAATGCTTTGCTTGTGTCCAGTTTCACTAGTCTGGTCTGGTTTTTGAGACCTTAGTGTTCTCTGGGTCTCTGGTGTCATTTTCTGAACAGATGCTGGACTGGCCTGTTTTTGACTTTCTGTTTCCTTAGCAGCTTCCCCCTTGGCTGGAGCTTTTGATGATGTAGACTGCATTTTCTGAGGCGAACCTGAGGCTGACATCTCTTTTTTGACAGGTGCAGCAGGAGATGGTATCTGGTTCTGATCAGCAGAAGCTTTGCTGGGTGCGGGCTTGTTCGTAGGAGGTCCTAGTGGATCAGAAGTTCCTTGTGCTCTCTGTATCTGGCAGGTAAGACAAAGCCACTCACTCCCCTGTTCAAAAAATAAAAAGATAAATACATTTTGACAATGCTGAAATATTAATGCAAAAATGTAAATAGAAATAGCTGGGAGGCATCACAGATGACTGACAACATGCATAACATTGTTCATTTTATGTTAATTAAAGAACATGACAAGGCTGTTGGAAATTTTGTATAATAATTACTATTATAGAATACTGTACCCCGTGACCCCCGTAAGGGACTTAACGGTAGAAAATGAATGAATGAATGAATACTGTAGGCAGTTATGGTTCCATGTGTAATAGTAAATCTAAATCATATGGCATAAACAATAAACCTTTAATTTGACTGAACTTTTATCAGTAAAGACTGCACTACTATGAATGCAATGAATAACAAAATAATTTTGAGTTGTCAGTCAAAGAGAACACATTAGGACCAAATGGTATACACTGTACCATACACTTTACTTTGCAATGTAGCACCTGTCTATCCATCTAGCAAATCTCCGCTCTCTAGCCAACAAAATGGATGAATGTCCTCATCAACATGGACTAACTGTGACGTCTCATGCTCTGCTGCTCTATGCTTCATAGAGACTTGGCTCAGCAACTCCATCTTGGACAGCGCAATACAAATACTGGGATCCCAGGTATACAAAGCAGATCGCGTAACAAAATTATTTGGGGAAACGAGAGGAGGCAGAATCTGCTTCTACATAATGAGGATTGGGTGTAAAGATGTCAGTCTTAGAAAGAAATTGCAACACAAACCTAGAGACTCCCTTCATCAACTGCAAACCATTTTATTCTCCCAGAGAATAGGCAACAATGCCCTGACATCTGTAGTTATGAAGTCCGTTGAAAGACTGGTGTTGGCCCCTCTGAAGGACATCATAGACCCCCTGCTGGACCCCATGCTGTTTGCCTATCAGGCAAACAGGCCAGTGGATGACGCAATCAACATGGAACTGCATTACATCCTGCAAAACACCTCAACTCCCTAGGGACCTACACATGGGTCCTCTTTGCGGACTTCAGCTCAGCATTCAACACCATCATCCTGGACATTCTCCACTCTAAACTGACCCAGCTCACTGTGACTGCCCACATCTGTCAGTGGACCACCACCATTTTATGGAAAATCACATCCAGCACCCAGACTATCAGCACAGCACCCCCTACAGGGATGTGTGCTCTCCCCACTGATGTTTTCTACACAAATGACTGCAGCTCAGGGGACCCCTTCACAGATGACAGAATGGTCGGTCTCATCTGAGACAGTGATGAGTCAGCCTACAGGTGGGAGGTTGAACAGCTGGCCCTATGGTGTGGTCACAACAGCATGGAGCTGAACATGCTCAGAACAGCAGAGATAACAATGGACTTCAGGAGCGTCCCCCATCTTATCTCTTCTCACTATATTCAGCAGCAATGTATCAGTAGTAAAGTCCTTCAACTTCCTGAGCTCCACTGTCTCCTAGGACCTGAAGTGTACATCCACCATCAGCACTATTACCAAGAAAGCACAGCAGAGGATGTATCAGCTCAGGAAGTTCAACTTGCCTCAGGAGCTGTTGATTCAATTCTATAAAGGAATCATGGAGTCTGTTCTCTGCACTTCCATCACTGTCTGGTTTGACTTGGCAACCAAACAGGACAGGAACAGACTTGACCATACATACAGTCAGGACTGCAGAAACAATCATCGATGCCAGCCTGAACCTCATGGATCAAAAGGAGGGCAGAGAAGATTTCTGCAGACCCCTCACACCCTGGACACAAAGTTTTTGAACTGCTCGGCACTACAGGTCATTGTACGCCAAAACAAACACCTTGTAAATATACTGTACCTTGTAAATATACTGTTTGTACATTATTTTACTTTTCTTGTTCTCTAAGTCTTATCTTGCTTACTCATTGTCTTATGGAAGGACATTGTACATGCACATTGATGGTCAGTGTACCAGAATCAAATTCCTCATGTGTCCAACACATCTGGCCAATAAAGCTGATTCTAATCTGATTCTAAAATATATAAACAGATGTAGTTTGAACAAAGCATAGTGATGAGAACATATAAAAGAAATGATAAAAAATCTAAATACTAAGTTTCTACTTACATCAGAGTCTGGAGGGCTGAAACCACACAAGCTGCACACTTCAGTTTTACACTGTGTACATGTTTTATGGTTTGGTGGTTCCTTGGTATGCATATTAAGTTCTGTTGTGTTGCATACGGGGCAAAGGGACTTAGCTACAGCTTTGGACTGAGATCTGGCTTTGGTTCCTCCTGGTAATGATGACCCAACCAGGCCAGGACTACTCAGTCCTTTAGAGCCTTGTTGCTGAGGCCCAGATTTATCAGAGGACTGCTGCTGGGGGGTAGTCCTGGGGCCTTGCTGCTGTTGTCCAAATTTAGGTGAGCCCTGTTTTTGCTGTCCAGTTTTTGGTGACCTTTGCGGAGAGCCAATTTTTTGTTGCTCAGCCTTTGTGGACCCTTGCACCCCAGTCTTTGCAGGTTCTTGGTGTGCACCAGTTTTATCAGGTCCTTGTTGCATCCCTGTCTTAGGTGGCAGCTGCTTTGGAGATTCTGGTTGTGGACTACTCTTAGACAGATTGGGTTGTTGAGTTCCAGGCTGCTGTGTGCCCTTAGGTTGACTCTTTTGTGGCTGTCCTTTAAGCTGGTCTTCATGATGTGTCTCTGTCTTTGGACCAATTTGTTGTCCAACAGGCTTGTTTGGGGGTCCAGCTTGTCTATTCCCATGCAGCTGTGGTGATCCCTGTTTAGGAGGAGGCTGGCTCTTTTGCATAGTGGGGCCCTCACCAAACCTTTGGGGTCCCTGCTGCTGTTGAGGGCCTTTGCCTGGACCTGCTCCTTGCTGCTGTTCTCCAGATGGCTTAACTGCCTGCTGAGAAGGTGCTTTCTGAATTTTATCTCCCTCCCCATCATCCCCAAATAAACCAAACCTATTCACTGCAGAGGACACAGCACTGAGGGGGTTTGCCCCGCTAAGAAATTTGGAAGAGAACATAGTGGGGTCTTCTTCCTCGTCCTCCTCGTCCTCCTCACAGGAGCTGGAATCTACAGGGCTCTCTGAGTCAGAGCAGGAGTTGTCTCCTCTCTGTCCTGGTTCTCCCACAGAGGCCTGGTGGGGGGCTGGGGTTGGAGCTGTAGAGAGGGCATCTACAGCCCCACTGCTGCTGCTACTACTGCTGCTGCTGCTGCTCCCTGGGCTCTCCTCTGGCTCAGCATCTACTTCAGACTTCCTAAATGCATAAGAAACACAGAGAGAGAGGAAGTGTGAGATGACAGGAACCAAGGCAAGAGGGAGGGATAATGAAAGAGAGTGCAGCAATTTGTGAAACACATTTACAAGACCATCTGAGCCAAAGTGCTGGTAAACAAAATAAAAGCAATGTACTAAAATAAAAGGATGTAAAGGAAATATACATCTGTCATTCACTGATAAACAGTGGCGAGTAAGTTCTAGATCCTAGACATACTAAGACAGGCCTAATTAAACTATCTCTAATATCTCAAGTTGGGAGAGTATCACTGTGTTACATAATATTGTATGGTTAAATCTTCCTTTACAGCTGAAAACATTGTAAATGTGGGGGAACTGAGAGCGTTACACACCACAGTGCATGATAAATAGCCTATATTGTATCAATCACCACAGCTGAAACGGTTATGATTTCTAAAGCAGACCTCTACACAGCTAGATACATTAATGGCCCAGCCACACTATGATCTACTCTGCTTCGACTGTTGCTTTCAGCACCATGGACAGAGGTTAGAGCCGCTCGGTTCCGACAGGACGCTGACACCGCTCTCAATAGACCCGGCTACTACAAACCTAAATGAAATGATCGTTTAAGACGGACTAGCAGGTCCAGAAGGCTAATTTTCTTTCAACTTTAAATTATTCGACTTTCGCTTATAATCGCATCCTCTGGTTTTTATCACTCAAGGGGAACGGGGGATCACGGAGTGGAAAATCGCATGCAGGACATGTTTTACAGCAGCAAGACGAGCAAACACAGGAAATCTGGCGCTCTGTTTGGAAAAACCGCAGGCACATCCGGGTAGGGACCCATCAAATAATGCAATGAAAGTGCTACTTATACTCATACACCAAGGGCAGTGCAGGTCTGTAATCAGCAGTTATCGTTCTGTATATGACATCTGAATTTTGCGTTTACTACGCACAACCCACGAGCAGCACTGGTTCGAATGAGTGAATGTAGCCACAGGGTTTTATCGCAATGAAAAAGCAGCATGCGTAACGCTCCACTACTCTATGGGCTACCCGACAACATGTTAGTCCGCAGAGGGTATGGGGTGATGACAGCTCGAGCGCACGGAGATGAAAAATAAAGAAATTTATTAAAAAATATACCTACCTGTGTGCCCTTGACCAAGAGTTTGTTCAGATTATATATTTTACTATCCTGGATTATTTCAAACCTGCCTCAATCAGCGAGGGAACCCCAGCAAAAGCCCTGTCATCGGTGGCAGCTTATGAAATACCATCTGTTTTCCGTTCCGTGTCCCCCAGCTCATCTCCTCCCATCCTGCAGCTGAGCATCCTTCACCCTCCACGGTCACAATGTCAAACACTGAAGCGCGGCATTCCAGTGAAACCGATGGCTATTGTACCTTCATGAGCGGCAGATCTGTCTCCCCATCCTCGCCCAAACCTCTTCGGATATCCCCTGTTCGTATGTGCCTGATCGCTGAGGGATGGAGGGCACAAGGTAGTAGATAGAGAGCGATCAGCATCCACTCCGCCTCCCACTCTAGTGCGCAGGCGCCGTATCTGACAGGTGATCACAATATATATCACGCACGGAAATTGAAATTAAAGGGGACAAGTCCAATTATTTCTCCGGAGTCACATGTAATCAGAACTTGAGATTTATGCATGTGTTACACATTTTCTCAGCGACTTGACATATTTGAAATGCCATTGTGGTGATGATGAGCAGCAGAGATACTGTGAATTTAGCTCCTAGTGTGCTGAGCCATGAGACCTATATCAAAAACAAGTGAAAGTCATAGCAGATTGAATGTTTTGAAAGTGTTATTTGGATATTTCAGTTTCAGAACAGTTTCAAAACATCCAGTCTGCTATGACTTTCACTTGTTTCTTCTGTTTTAGAACATTCATTGGATCTACCTGGCACACCAAGCACTAGTAAGCGCTTCATCTGTAGATTGCTTGCAGGATACTCATGTCTTATACAGTATTTTTATATAGGTATCACACACACAGATGTGAACACATGCAGTTGCATATCAGGTCATCACTCAAAATGAGCAGACCATGTTTCTGCCCCCTTTGTCTTTATGAAGACATTTGTCTACACCTGATAAGATGAAAACTGAAATACTGTCATCAGTACATTGACAGATCATCTATGCCAGTTTACACATCATCCATCCTTCAGCCCTGTCTAAGTATGCGAGTTCACAGAATTACAGCAATCAATACATTTTGAATTATTATTAAAATGGCCTTTTCATAAGTCTTTCTTTATGTCGTTTTAGTAAACCTATTTGCTTGACATATAGACTTGCCTCTGCACAATATGCTGGATATAATCCACACAGCGTCTAGTTATGACCATCAGTCAATAAGCTGAGTTAGATGCCTTTCTTTAGTATGCAGCAGTTCTTTCACTGTGCAAAGAGCACCAGGACATTTCCACATGGGCTTGAATTAATGGCTGTTGCAATTGGTTGTATTTTAGTTCATCGAATATTTAATGGAGATGTATGTAATTGGTAGTGAACACCCACAATCTCAAAGCACCTTTTGTTGGTCTGTGTAACCTTTATCTTCTTCCTTCACTAGTTTTTTTTGACAAAACAAATATGATGCAAAGAGAAAATCTGAGCATTTTCATGCTGTGCCACTCTCAGATTGATCAAAAACCACTGGCCTTTTTTCTTATTTTCTTCCAGCTCAAGCCAAATTAATAAAAATGCTGACTTCTGTCCAACAATGAACTGACCGTGGTTCTTGAAAAGTGTTAGTTTCTTTATACAACTCTTTGTTGTTTTACAGAATATAATTTAAGGGTTTAGCAACTTGATTATAGAGTGAGAGGAGAATGAACCACACAACATAATAAATAAATAAAATGAAATAAAAAGAAATGCGCCTGATCACGCTTCTGCCATAAGGACGGTAACCCACCAGCTGTGATTTTTTTTTTTATACTCAGGGGTAAGGACTTATCTAGGGTTTTTTTCAAGAGACACATGCCGCTCGAAGTGACATGGAAATTCACTCACGACACACAGTTGATAAATTCTTATGCAGTATGTGGAAAGCGTGAGGAAGATGTGTGGGAAGGATGGAGAGCAAGTGGTGTGTGGGTGTGTGGAAGGGTTACATCATGCGTGATGTGTGAGCGGTAGAATCGCTATAGTCTTTCTTTGGAAAGTGCCAGATTTGGCTTGATTGCACACACATGCACCCACATATACACAGAGGAAACATTCATCAGCACAGTCTTAGTCTGTGGGTCATAGGCTGCAGCCTTGCAGTGGGCTTGTGCATGAGCAGGAAATAATTAAAATAATTTTGGAATGCTTTTACTTCAAGGCAAAATATAAAATGTTGTCTTCCCTTTTATATGTTTTTTGTCATTGTGTTTCTGCACTACCTAGTTTTTATTTATATTAATTGATACTGTCTTTTTATTTTATTATTACTTTTATTAATCTTTTTAACGTCATGTGCAGTAGTCTCATTGGTTTTAAAAAGTTCTTTAGTGTTTCCATCTGTTCTGGTTTATTATCAGCTTGACGGTCATCTGTAAAGCCGTTTCAATTACATTAAAATAAAAATTTGGTTAAAGGGTTCAATGTCCATATATGTCTGTATTAATTATCTAGTGAGAGCCTTTGGATTGGCTAAGCCATGGACCATTATACGTGTGAAGACAGTGCAGTTATTTAAATAAACAAACATCTGTCTAAAAATCTGAATTTATCACTCATGTTTTTAATGTTGCTCAACTGTTCTGATCTTGCTGCACAAGTGTTTGTCAGTCAGCAGCATTATGTAAGACTCTAAGACAGCAGGCAATCACCAGATGCGATACCATCATGTTCTTTTCTTTCGATCGCTCCCTGCTTGTCACTTTAAATGTGATGACTACAATCTCCATTGTCACCATCTTTTTTTTCCCTCGTGCACTCTCTGATAACGATTAAGTTCTCTGATAAAGTTCTGCACTCACACAGCTGCAGCATCATAGGCTTCAACAGCATTGCTCATTCTTAGAGACAGACCCCCTAAATGAATCGTATGCTCTCATGTGTATCGAGGAGTGAAACTAATTCAGGCTACTCATGGGGAAAGGTTTGAAAAGCTTGAATATTAAAACATGATTCACCCTCAGGTTCTTTTGTCTGGCTTCCTCACATGTGTGTAAAAGTGTGTGAATTCACACACAGGACTGTGATAAAATTCCTTTTAGTAGTTTGAACCTGCTTGCTAAGAGGCAAACTATCAAGCCAACACCCTGCCTTAGGAAAAACCCAGAGTCCATTAATGCTAAAAATATATGTACGTATGCCTGATTTCCATTTTCCAAATATTTATATAGACATGAGGCTATGCCCATCTGACAGCTGATCAGACACCTCTGTGGTTCTCTTTTCTGCAGCACTGCCTTTCTACTCACTCAGGCATACACCATTAGAAAAACAACACAATTATACACCATTTGTATTCTTCTCAGCGCAGTTTTATCCCAGCACCCACACACCCATCTTTCACTCTCTTTCTCTCTTTCTGTTCTGTCTGACTCTCTCATACACAAACACACTCAAACAAACAGAGCTCAGAAGCTGTACTTATCTCGCCCTCATTTTAATTAAGCCAACACACTGGAGCATAATGCCATCCAGCAGTTTCTAACTCCCTCAGCTGTAATTCTCATGGATGAGACTGTAACTTTTGTATTAACAACAGCCAAGCAGTCACTTCCCATCACCTTTTGTCAAAGCAGTAAAAAAAAACAACAAAAAAAAACAATTTTTCAAAAATACACACCTCTGGCGTTGACCCTTGAGGAAGGCAAAGCAGTTTTTCCCCGGCATGGTTTTCTTTGGAGCAGTGTGGAGCAGTAACCTGCATGGAGGTTTATTGCTATCCTCTCTGTGCTCGTGCTTGTTTGGCAGGATCACCATGTAATCTATACAGTAACCTGATCACACACACTTTGACAGTATCATTAAATTTACATATCTGCCCTGTGGAGGGGAAAATATGGACTCACGACACTATTCTCCAGATGGAACCAAAAGACCGGTGAAATGCACCAAAATCACAAACAGAAAATGAAAGCTGTCAATTGAAATTAAGAGGAGGTATAACTGTTGTCAGGTAAACTGCCACATTGCTTGAATAATATTAATTTAGACAATATAGTGGCTCATTGCCTAAGGGGAGTACAGTAGCTGCAAGGAAAAATTCACCTCATTCACCTGGTTATCCACAGACACATTCAAGCTAGAATGCATTATAAACATTGATTGATTGATAACTTTATTGTGTTAGAATGTGCATTGTATGCAGTTGGAGTTCTGAAGCCCTGGGAGTCTACTGTATGTCACTAGTGTGTTTTCTCCCTTCCTTATTCAGCATCGTGGTAGATCACTGCACAAGCCTCTAAAGCCACCCAGTTTTTTTTTTCCTGACCAGTGTCCACTGCTCTCTGCCTTACTAAAAATACTCTTAAAGAAACAGCATCCACAAATCTCCCTCATCAGTACTTCCTCTATTCTTATCTGGCTTTTACCACTAGCACCTCCCTCTGTTGCCATATCATGGGAGAATTCCTAGGATAACACAATTCATTCCCTCAAATCCTTCAAATCAGCTAGTGTAGCGGGAAATCGCTGCTGATCAGAGTCAGACGGGCAATGGAGAGAGGAATAGCAGAGAATGAAAATGAGAGTCGGTAGGATGACCAAAGCTTGATCATGGAAATGTGGAACCACAATTAATAATACCACAAAGATAGGAGAAATCAGAAAGGACAGGAACGGAATGGAAAGCAGACTCAATAATTCTCAAAATAGATAAAGAGGGTAAACATAGCTGATCCTCTTTAATGCCAGCATAAGCCTGTACTAGCAGAGGTTCACTGTCTTTCTTGCATCAGATGTACAGTACCTTGCTCCCATTAGTAATTTCTAATATGAAAAGGCAATGGAAAGTGTGTGTATTTCCAGCAACACCCTTTCCTTATAATCATAGAGTGGACAAGTGTCTAAAATATAGATTTCATCAACATGACTGAATATTACTGAAATGGGCATAATTTAAATTCAGTTCAATTCAAATGCTTTAAAAAAAAAACAAAAATACCAAAAAAAGAAAAATGTCATGCCACTTTACGTATTAAGGTTAAGATCTTACAGTATTATAGAGAAAACCCCAACAATTCCCCCCTGAGCAAGCACTTGGTGACAGTGGGAAGGAAAAATCCCCTTTAACTGAAGGAACCTCAGACAGAACCAGGCTCAGGGTGGGCAGCCATCTGGCTTGTTCCGGTTGGGGTGAGTAGAAAAGACGTAAACAAGAGCAAACAACAAACAAACAAACCCTGCACTGCTTAGTGGGACCGGAAACAGCTCATCAGAAACATACAGCTCTGGAGTCCAGGATCCCTGCAGAAAGGTACAGGGAGAGAGAGGAGAGAGGAGAAAGCACAAACTAGGAGAAAGAGAAGACACAAAGCTAATGGTGGCAATGTATGTGCATGGAGAGTCAGGAGAGGTGCTCAGTGCATCATGGGAGGATCCCCATCAGCCTAGGCCTATAGCATCATAACCAAGGGATGGTTCAGAGTCACCTGAGCTCGCCTTAACTATAATCTTTTGTTCCCCTGCCACTGAATAGACAAAACTACAATAGATTACAGGATGCAGTCCAAACGCTATTGCTGTTTGTTTAACACTGTTTGCTCATCTGCAGGTAGACAGATATTAAAATGTTTGTAGAAGATCTATAATAAGGTC